CGAAGTATTTCGAGGTTTTCTCCACGAAGGAAAGGACTAGAATTTTTTCAAAGGTGATATTTGGGATCACCTCTTCAAGGGCTATCGACTGATGTAAGCTTCATACAGATATATCATCTGCTGAAACTTTGAATTACCCGCGCCTTACAATAGCGTATAAATTAACATTGTGCACACAGACATTTTGTTTGTGTGAAATCTTCGTAAACCTGTTAGCTACTTTTCTGCTTTATTTAGAAGGTTTGTTTTCTATCTGATTTGTTCAAGAACATTACTCCTAAGGCCCTTTATAATGCAAAGAAACAGAACGGCAAAATATTTCACACAAACAAAATGACCGTGTGCACGAAACATTTGCAGATCTATCGGCAAATTATGAACGAGAAATATTTTGGAGATATGAGTCCGCTTTTAAAACTCACATTTCCGTTGTTTTTACTGCTCGACATTCTGCATTTTCTACATTTCAAGTTTTCGTTCTTATACATTCTGCGTTTTCACTTTCGATGTTTTGAGTTTTCGACCAAAGGCATACATACATTCATTTTAGATAAAAGAAAATTTCGTCTATTATTTTTTGATTTTTGCAGCGTAGTACCAGTGGAGTGTTTTTTTGTCTCTGTCAAAAGTGGCTAGTGATTACATTACAGAAACTAGTTTAACTAGTTGCAGCGGCCGCTAAATTGAGCGCTGCAGCTAGTTGGGCAACGAGTATTAAATACATTATACAAAAAAGTTTGACTAGTTGCAGCGCCCGATTTAGCGGCCGTTGGAGCTAGTTTTAACGAAAACTAGTTGCAGCGGCCGCAAAAGGAGGCAAGCCCAAAAAGGAAACTACTTTACTTGTGTAGTATATATATATACAGGCGTGAAATGATATAGTTACTTAGCTTTCGCTTATAAATGTATTTTTCAACGTATATAGCTTGAAATCAGCAACAATGTAAGTTGTTTTTACGGGACTCATTATTCTAAGTGAGGTGACACAAGGATAAAGGATTTTTGAAAACTAGGATAAGTCGATTTTCTGGTATAACAGGTGAAATTAACTGGCTTCTCATTTTTAAATTTATACAGATGATTACAAACGATAGTGATTATCATGAACAATTTGAATTAAAAACAAACGGTGAGTTTTCTGAAATCATCAATTCAATACAAGAGCGTTTTCCAACTGTTGATATGAATACACAACAAATACAACGACTGGATGAATCACGCAATCGATTTATGGATTTTGATAAAGAATATTTTAATAGTAATAAAGAAGTTCTAGTGTCGTCGTCATCAAACGTATTTCGGATTATCAGAAGAACTGATTTTTCACCATCGGATACTTCAGAAGAAGATGAATTAAGTATTTCAGATTTGACAATAGCTGATGATAAATCAGGTGAAGAACCTGTTGAATTAATGAAAGTTCATAAGCCAATGTGTACTGATAGTTCACAAACAAGTCCTGTTCGACTGAATTTAAGATCCTACCAAAGTAAAGCATCGTCAATGTCATTAGACGTCTCTGGAGATGATCGATACCAGCAAATAGTTCAACCAACTACAGCATCATCTCTATCGTTATCTGCATTGGGTAGGTTAATCTAAGAAGCACTGGCGCTACAATATAACATGTTTCTCTGTCTTTTTCAAGATGATTCTTTCTCAAGCAGACCGAACAAACTAGCTACTACCACTAAACGACGATCTGTCCCTCAATTATTTTCTAGAATATCTTTTAGATTTCTAAATCTTCAAAGGCTTTTTCGTCGTCGATCAACTTCTGTCTCTGATTTTTATCAGGCCTGTTGTAATAATCAAGTAACAAAAGTTGAACGATATTTAGAAATTTTATCGTTGTGTGATATAGATAAATTACAGCCAGATGGATCAACAGCGCTTCATATAGCGGCTTCGTTTGGCTATCAACAAATTGTTCGTCTATTATTGCAAGCAGGTGCATCCCCAACAATCTTAAGCAAACATGGACTAACACCTGCTGATTTAGCAAAAACCGAGGAAATAAAACAATTATTTCATCGACGGTCTACTCTAGTTACATCTAGATCAACACCATATGAGCTGATTGCGCTGGTATTGTACGGTTTGACTAAAAAAAGTCAACAAAATAAACTTGCTTGGAAATTTTTTTCTTTAGTCGGACTATATACTAGTATCATTAGGGATCACGAAATAAAAAATTTCCCGACTGTCACTTTCTTTCTTTCGGAAAAAATGAGCCTTTCGTTGGAGAGTCTCCTGTCCAAAACCATTAAATTTTATTTATGCGTTTTCTCCG